GGGCTAGGAGGCCAACCCGAGCGCAGCCCCCATCCACAGCTAGATTTGCCGGGAGGGACATTTCCGCGCGCCCTTTCCCGCTTCCCCACCCTCCGCCACCATTGCCCCCGCCGCCGCACGCTCCAGTGCATCCTCCGCGGCCGTCCTTCGCCGCCATGGATGACTCCCAGCTGCCCCCCATCACCGTCGAGGTTGCGCATGCCCCTTCCCCTCAGGCGGATCTCGTCGCCAGCCATGTTGGCCCCGCCGTCGCTCAAGCTAGCGCCGCGCCTGCCCACAAGCGGCAGGGCAACGTGGTCGTGCAGGGTGGGAATCCGAAAGTCCCCGCCGCCAAGGCTCGCGCTCCCGGGCCAACGCTACTGCGCGATCTCGGCCGGCGGCGGAGAAGGCGACCAAGGTCGCGGCCGGAAAGAGGAAGAGGAATCCGGCTGCAAACAATGCGCCTCCTTCATCCTCGAACTCCATCCCGGCAAGAAGTGCCCCGCCGATGTCGTCCAACGGCGCTGCTCCCCCCGCAAGCGAGGTGTTCGACAAAATGGCCGGAAGGTATGCATTCGAGTACAATGAAACAGAGGGTGGCGTGGATGATCATGGTTGTGAGGACGAATTGGCTGAGATCGAAGCGTAAGCGTTTGAGCAATCACAATCAAAATCTGGGAAAAGCCAAAGATCGAAGAACTACACGATCTTGGAAGATCAAGCTTTGATCCAAGCATGGAGTGCAGTGTCTCTTGATGCATGCACGGGTACTTCTCAAACCGCCAAGAGATATTGGCAAAGGATCAAAGATCAGTACTTCCGCATCATGGCAAAGTATTCCAATAGGACTCCTCACACATTTCGGTCACTTCAAGGCCATTGGGAGAATATCAAGCCTATGTGCAGCCGTTGGGCTGCTTGCTTGGAGCAAGTACGCAATGCACCTCCAAGTGGTATCGTGGAATCCAACTATGTGAGTTTGTTTTGCTCTTGTTCAAGTTGTGCACAATCATATTTGCATCATAAGAATTGATTAGATCACTTTGTTCTTCACATTGTGTAGGACAAGATTGCCCAACATAGATACAAAGACATGGAAGCTTCGGAAGGCAAATTCTTCAAACTAGAGCATTGTTGGGACTTGCTCCAAAAGTGCGAGAAGTGGAAGTTGATCGATAAAGAATCTCCACCGAAGAGAGGCTCGCTTATAAACATGGAAGAAGGTGAAGATGATGACAGCCCAAGAAATTTGAACAAGCTCGATGGCGACAAGAAAACTAAGGAGAAGATGAAGAGAGAGCAAGAAGCATCGAGCTTGAGGGAGAAGATTGATGCCATGGTGCAATCAAACGAGTTGATGTTGTTGAAGTCATTGGAGATCAAGAAAGAGTTGGCCGAGAAGAAGGAAAAAGAGAAGCAAGAAAAGTGGCAGTTGCTCAAGGAAGAGGGGCTCCGCAAAGCTGCCATTAAGGAGAGAAGAGCACGCGCCGCTGAAAACAAATCCATGTCTTTGTTGCTCGCCGAAGAGAACAAGATCATGTCAATGAACCGTGATGACATGGACGACCTCATCAAAACATGGCATGATATGGCAAGGAGAGAAATCTTGAAGAGGTGGATGGTCGCGTCCGCTGGTCCGTGTTACAGGTCGGGAGATGTTTTCTCTGCTCCATATGGTGGCAATGTCGATGATTCCGGTGCGGGAGTTGGGACAAGCACCAGAGGTGGATTCGGTGGTGTCGATGAACTTCAAGGTGGACTCGATGGCGCGGAGTGAAGGTCGACCAAGATGATGCCGGGCATGGCCGTAACTTTTGCAAGGCCCTCTTTTGCGTTTCTCCTATTGATCTTGGCTTTTAATTTGAGCCTAAAACTTTGTTATGTTGTTTGAATTTGAACTTATTTGTGGAAACTTATATCAAATGCGAGAATTGGGCGTTTTCTGTTTCCAGGTCGTCGCGGTGGTGCCCAAGTAGAAGCCGCAGAAGCCGCCCCGTAAAAAAGCATACTCCGAAACATACTTTTATGCGGGTCCGTTTGAGAGATCTGCATCTGTGGTTGTGTGTGCTGGCCCGTAAAAACGATTTTGCGCGAACTACAAACACGTTTTGCGGGCCGGCGGGATGCGGGGTCTGCTAGGGTTGCTCTTATCTCCGTCGACGGTTCCTGGGAAAATCCTATTCGACGCTAACTGCATCAAAATGTCGAGGTTTCGCAACAGGCGTCCCCCCGAGCGCGAGAACTGGGCCGGCCCACTATTCCATAGCGAGGCATCCGGTTTTGGGAACCTTCCAGAAGGTTCCCTGAACCGGTTTTTTGTAGTTATACCTGTTTAACGGTTTTCTTTTGAGAAGATTTGTTTCGGTTTTTCTCGTTTTTCTGTTTCATTTCTTTTTTGGGTTTCTTTTTTCATCTCTTTTTTTGTTTCTTTTTCAGGATCACATTTTTTTGGTCTTTTCTAAAACATGTTTGCAGTTTTACAAAAAAAAGGATTTTCTTTGTTATTTCTTTTTCTTTTCTTCTCTTTTTTCTTCAAAAAACTCGAAAATTTGAAATTTTGTTCATGTTTTCAAAAAATGTTCAGCTTTTGAAAAAATGTTCTGAAAATTTAAAAATTGTTCTCGTTACACAAAAAAGTTCAAAACTTTCAAAATTCAAAAAATGTAGCAGATTTCAATATTTTGTTCACTTTTTAAAAAAATGTTCGCGCTTCCAATTTTTTTCGGGATTTTTCAGAATTGTTCTTCGTTTCAAAATTTGATCTCAAGATTCAAAAAATGTTCGTGCTTTAAAAAATTGTTTGCGCTGCCAAATTTGTTCGGGATATTTCAAAATTGTTTTCCATTTCAAAATCTGTTCTCAAGATTAAAAAAATGTCCGTGGTTGAAAAAATAGTTGGCGCTTCCAAATTTGTTCTCAAGATTCAAAATTGTTCGTGCTTTAAAAAATTTGTTCACAAATTCCAAAAATGTTCATGTCTTCGAAAAATGTTTTGGAAAATTCGAAATGTTTGGGTTTTCAATTCTATTCTGTTTTTCAAAAAAGTGTTCGCAAATTTGAAAAATGTTCTCGTATTCAATTAATTTGTCCATTAAAAAATGAAATTACGAAAATGTTCTAATTTTAAAATTATTGTTCACAAATTTTGAAGTGGTTACATTTAAACAAAATGTTCGCAATTTCAGTTTTCTTCCTTTTTTATTCCAAAAAAAGTTTACGCTTTCACACAATGTTCTAATTTTTAAAATTTTGTTCACAAATTATAAAATGGTTGCGTTTCAGAAAATATTTACTTTTTGCCAAAAGAATACACGTTTGAATTTTTTTTAAGTATAGCCTTTGTCGCGGTTTATAGTTCATATTTGTTGGGCTACCTTTTTTGACACGAAATCTTAGAAACTATGGTGGCTACCTACTTGTGTTGACAGGTGCCTCGCTCACACCTTGGTTCATCGTAATTTTGCGTATTCAGATTTTATGTTTTCTCGCTACTGTTAATTTCTTTAGGTTCGCGCTGCCAATTTACCATAAGAAGTAGCTAGTTGGGGCGGCTAGCTCATCGCGCTTAGCAATAGGAAGTCTCGGGTTCGATTCAAGTACCCTTTTTCCTTTTTTGCGATTTTTAACCTACGAATGTGGCGCACCCGCAATATGGGCCGGCCCAGCCAAGCTGCTTGTGTGCGAAATGCCGACTGCTTGCCGCAGCGAGCGTCCGATTTTTAAATTCAGAACAATTTTATTTTAACTGAGAGCAATTTTGAAAAGGAGAACATTTTTTATATACATGACCAAATAGTTGAAACGGAAACTTTTTTCTAGTGCTTTGAACATTTTTTGAAAGTGCGAACATTTTTTATATAGGTGAACGTTTTTCAGCTGCGTAAACTGAACATGATTTAAAAAACTAAGAACATTTTTTGAAAAATAAGAACATTTTTTCATACATGAACAAAAATTTGAAAATAAGAACATTTTTTGAAATTTGTGAACAATTTTTTGGAATTGGTGAACAAAATTTGAAAATGGGGACAACTTTTTAAATTCAGAACAAATTTCTTTTAACTGAGAACAATTTTGAAAAGGAGAACATTTTTTATATACATGACCAAACAGTTGAAAGGGAAACTTTTTTCTAGTGCTTCGAATATTTTTTGAAAGTGCGAACATTTTTTATATAGGTGAACATTTTTCAGCTGCATATACTGAACATGATTTAAAAAATAAGAACATTTTTTGAAAAATTTGAAAAAGAATAACATTTTTTAATACATGAACAAAATTTTGAAAAATAAGAACATTTTTTTGAAATTTTTGAAAATAGGCATTTTTTTAAATCCATGCCATTAATTTTCAAATTTCTCAAAAAATGAATAAAAATAATTTGAACAATTTCCGTAAAAAACAGGAACATTTTCTGAAAATTCAGAACAAAAATTTGAAAGCAGGAACATTTTTTGAATTTATGAACAAATTTGTGAAATGGGAACATTTTTTGAATTTTTGAACAAAATCTGAAAAACAGGAAAAAATTTGAAATTCGGATTTTTTTTGAAAATAAACTTGAAAAGAAAAAAGGAAAATAAAAAGGAAACAGAAAAAAGAAAAAAAGAAAAAAGTAAAAGAAGAGAAATAGAAAAACGAAAAATGAAAAAGAAAAAGCCGGTTCAAGAACCTTCTAGGAGGTTCCCAAAACCGGAAAAAACCGGCTGGAAAAAGGTTCCAAAACCGGGGTCTGCTGTAACGCTAAATGGGCCGGCCCACTCGGTCGCTCCCTCGCACCTGCCCTGTGCGAAGCGCCGACTGCTTGCCGCAGCGAGCGTCCAATAGGAGTTCCCCGGTTCCTGGGCGAGCATATCTTTATTGCTGGGCCGAACTGGTGTATGCACGAGACCGGCCAATACGCGCGACGTGGTCAGCGTGAGCACCGTGCACGGGCGCACCCCCCGCACGAGCCGTCTTCTGATCCCGCGAGCACACGCCGCGATCTCGACTCAAGCAAGGCAGCGAGACGAGACCAAACCATGGCGGCCAACCACCACCTCCGCCGCCTCGCCTCCGCGTCCGCCCCTGCTCTCTCCCGCCTCTCCAAGCCCACTCCCTCGCCGCTCCTCCGCCCCGCGTTCTCCAGTTCCGCCTCTCCCGCGGGTCAGCCGGCGGCGGCGGCGGGGGCCGATGCAGCCGAGAAGGGCGAGGCCCGGAGCGCCGTGAAGGAGGCGGGCGAGGCGCAGGGCGGCGATGCTGGCGCGAGGAAGACGGGGGAGGAGGAGGAGGATGACGGCGGCCTGGACATAAACGAGGCCACGGGCGAGATCGGCGGCCCGCACGGGCCGGAGCCCACCCGCTACGGCGACTGGGAGCGCGGCGGCCGCTGCTCCGACTTCTGAGCAACCGCTGCCAGCTGGGAGGGTAAAAGCTTGCTCTCGGATTCGTTCTAAGTTGTATAATCATAAGGATATGGCATGGCATGGTGGTTCTGTTTTACTCTGCTGGGGGAATAAATCTTGCTGTTATACTGAACATAATTCTGGAGTTTCAGAGTACTGTTCCATCTTAGCATGTATCTAAGCTTTCTAAGTTCTCTGTATGAATTTCGTTGAGTGGTAACTGATTGTTTGTTTAGTTTGATTGCCCCCCTTAAGCTCCATGACGAAATTGAATTAGTATGATTGATTCACAGCAATGCCACATCGCGAGTTCTTGCAATTTCACATGAGCGAGTGATTCCTTGGTACCTACTGAGGTTATACGTAGCGGGTGTATACGGTATTACGTGCTTCTTGTGCTTCCTTCCTAAAACTTGGTGCCTCCTTAGCTAGTATTTCTTGTTATGTTGTCCCCAAGTTTTTTTGGCCTTGGAGAAATTGATCAGGCTGGACAGGAAGTTGGAACTTGGGTTGGGGTGACTGGCGGTTGTAGCTGGAATTTGGCATGCTTCAAGTTTTGGGGTGGAAACTAGAGTGAACACCAAGTAGGAGAGCATTGGTGATCTGATGTTGCTATTGAAGCCAGGCATCTACTGGGATTGCCGGTTGCAGTGAAATACACTTTGTTTATCATGATGACACTTTCTATATAGGATGATTGAATATGGAACGACAGTAACCTGAAACTTCAGATAACAACAGTAACCTGAAACTTCAGATAACAGCAGTAACCTGAAACTTTAGATGACAGCAGTAACCTTGAGCCATCTTATTTCCAGAACTACCTTGGGCCATCTTAAATAAAAATAAATACCTCCAGTAGAATGGTATTGAAGTTACATCTAGCATTCATTGGTAAAATATTTTGTTCTGTTTGCCTTGAGCTTGCCGTATGATCAGATAGGACACATTTATTTAAGTGCGGTATATGAAATTTCTAAATACTTACAATTTGCAGTCTCCATTCAGAAGATAATTTCTGAACGCTTCTCAAGGTTGTGCTTCCTTCCTAAACCTTGGTGTCTCCTTGACTAGCATTTCTGGTTCTGTTGCTCTCAGTTGTTTTTAGCCTTTGGAGAAATTGGTCAGGCAGGAGAGGAAGTTGGAACTTTGATGGGGTGACTAGCTGCTGTATCTTGAATTAGGCATGCTTTCGATTACGGGTTGGCAAATATAGGGTGAACACCGAGTAGAAGAGCATTATATGTCCGTGATTTGATGTTGCTACTGAGATCAGTCATCTAGTGGGATTGGTACCGAGCAGGAGAGCATTATATGACGGGTTCAAATGCATTTTTATTCAGCATCAGGACAGTTTCTATATTGGACGATTAAATATGAAACGGCACTAACCTTGAACTTCAGATAACAACAGTAACCTTCAGCCATCTATTTTCAGAGACCTTGAACCATCTTTTCTTGACAGACCAACCTTGCTTATTCACGAAAGTGAACATTTCTTGTAGAATTGCATTGAAGTTACATAGGGATTGGTAGGTGTTCATGGGTGTAGTATTCTGCCCTGCTTACAAGGGCTTGAGGATAACATGATCATGATTTCCTGGTTCCCCCCTTTCTATTTGCCCTGAGCTTTGCCGTATGATCAGATAGGAAAGGATACATTTATTTAATTAGATTATGCTATGAAATCTTGGAACAAGTTAACCAAGTCGTTGTCTCCGTTCAAAAGTTCTATTAATTTGGTGATTAGGTTAAAATTCATTTTGAATAAATTTTGGTTGCATCTTCGTTTTGCTTGTCTGGTTTAGCTCAAGTTTTGTATTGGTTTCTAATAAATTATGGGTAAGATAATATCAAATGTACTGGTTTCTAAGGAGGCATTTCAATATTTTATCAGCTCGGTTCTCATCGTAGTTTCCCCTTTTAAGGAAGACCACCTTACAGTCCTAGCGAATCATATGTTTTTTATTAGCAAAACCAAACTGATTTTGAGAGCAATGATACAATTTTATTATAAAACAGTGATCGATAGAAACAAACATTAAATTTAGACCTCTGAAGTCGTCGTCCCCACCTGCAGCCTTTCTCAACTTCCCTCCAAAGCTCTGGAGAAAAACCGCAAAGGACCAAACCTACACAGGTTAAGAATAAACCTCAAAGGTTTTGAAGAACCACATGAGCCCTCCACCTCCAGAGGTGATCATCTTTAAACCACTGAACCACAAGGGGCGCGTTTGGTTGCCTGCACTAGGCCCAGCCTGGCCCGTGCGGGAAAGACTGAGTCCGTTTGGTTGGTTGCATTTACTGTTGGGCCTGCACAGCACGAAACTTAAAGCACATCTGGGCTTGACTCGCTGGAAACGCTCAGATCGGCAATTTCTAGCAAGCCTGACTGAGGCGAGCGCACATGATGGGCCACTTGCACAAGGGAAGATGGGAGGGATACTAGCTGGTATGCAGCCTTGTCTCAAAAAAAAAACTGGTATGCAACTCCTACCTCCATTAACCTTCTCTCTAATTCTGTTCTTCCTAGCCCCTTCGGATCTACACAACAGTGCTTCGATTCGAGGTAAGCTCTACACGAAAAAGATGCACCTCGATGCTACGGTTTCATTCAGGCGATCGGTTTGTAGTTTCGTCGGCCGTAAGTTCTTAATTTCGTGTTCTCATTTGGAGCTATTCTGGAAGAATTTTGTCAGATTCATCATGCACGATCGATCATTTGAAATTTCCTTTCACCAGCAGCCTAATCTCACAGTTCCTCGCAACATTCGTGTTGTAAGTTTTTGGTTTCGACATCGTAGCTTCATCTCTTTGAACAGCAGTCTACTGCACAAACGCCGCCATGTCGAGCTCCTTTGTCCTCTGCTCAGAGCCCTCCTATTCGTCCCTCTCGATGCCGACGCCCTTCCCCTTGATCTCCTTGCCCACGTCCAGCTACACTAGAGTCGTTTCCGGTGTCGCTCTCTGTCGTCCTCGTACTGCACTGACGCTGCAATGGCGCGTACACTGCTTTCTTGTGTCCTCTGCCTCCGCGCACACTGTAGTTCACCGCGCCGCCGACGGGGTCGATCATCTTGGCCTCCTCTCTCTCGACCTACTACACTTTAGTTGTTTCCGGCGTCGATCATCTCGGCCTCCTCTCTCATCCACCGCATTGACGATACCATGGTGCGAGCACTGCATTCTCCTCCTCTGTCGACTGTCTTTGCGCGAGCACCACAACTAGTTCGCTGACGGTGTCGCTCGCCGTGCCGCCGACGGGGTCGCTCGTCCACGACTCGATGCTCGTCATGTCGGACACGGTGCCACGACCACTATCCACCGCAGTTGCCATTGTCCTGCGCACACTACATTTCTTCTCCCCCTCCCTCTGCTAGCTCTTAATCATACCTCATGCGTGCAACCAAACACCGTGTTCATGTGCCGCTTGGGCCAATGCAGGCAACCAAACAAAGTGCACTTACGTATTACCTAATGCAGCGACCCTAGATGCAGGCAAGCAAACAACTTGCAGATGACGCATTTGGGGTTGTTTTTCCTCAACCAGGCTGGATTAAGATGTGTATGCAATGCAACTACTGTTCACTACTGCAACCAAACACGCCCAAGAAAATTTGCTCGGGCCGTTGTTTCTTCGTAAGACTGCCAAAAAAGAAGACCGAGAGCATAGAGGGATGAAGTTGGAAAACCAGACACCAGAGTAAAACTAGCACCAGTGAAGGCACTGAACATCAAACCATCAGATCAAGCATCATCGACTCTTATGAGTTATGATCGAACAACACTAGCCCCTTGACATCTGCAATCATGACCACAGTAAGACAAATACTCCCTCCGACTTAAATTAAGTGTCGTAACTTTATACTAACTTTAGTGCAAGTTTGTACTAAAAGTTGAGACACTTATTTTAGGTCGGAGGGCTTATGTTGTAAGGAAAATTTTATTCCATGCGATGTCGCCCTGCCAGGTAAACATGAATGAACTTGATAAAAAATAATATATAAATTACACACGAACGCCAATCTAAGGTACCCTGCCTCTTGTTTTCTCGGCCAGTCGTCGGCAAAGGGACCTCGCATCGCCACCTGAGTATCCCTCGGTGCAACTGCCGCGTATCCTTCGGTGTGGCACTTGTACTAGGAAGTTCATGCTCTCGCAGGGAATATTTTGTGAAGAAAACTAGGAGCTTCTCTGACTGAACTGGAAAGCCTTACAAATGGAGCGACGAGTCAGTGTGAATGTACGTATTGGAAAGATTTGACTGGGAACTATAATCAAGCTACTAACCACTGCTGCCCAAAACGAAGCACAAAATTAGGACGTGATTAATCTCCGCTTTCCAGGACGAAGCTGAAAATTACGTACACTAGGATTAAATTAAATCTTTGCTCTCCCAAACGAAGCAGACAATTATGAAATTTAATCCACCCTTTCCAAAACGAAGCACAAAATCACCTGATTACCCATTGCTTAACAAAACTGCAGGAGGTAAATTACCATCGCCTACGCGAGAGATTTCCTACTCCGGCATTCCTTACTCATCATGCAGTCGCGAGACTGACGCGCGCCACGTACTACATATACGTACCTTCCAAGAATCCATCCGAGGCAGCACGCATCCCACCACCGACCACCCTCGTCCAAAGCCCAGACCGCTGCGGCGCAACCACCTTCCGGTCTTCCACCATGACGCCGACCCGCCACTCGCCGGCCGTGGTGGCCGCCGCGCTCCTCCTCGCCGTCCTGGCCAGCGGCCGGCGTGGCGCCGAAGCGGGGGGCGACGAGAGCGACTGCAGCGTCGCGCAGACGGCCTTCAGCGAGTGCACCGGGTACGTGGCCGGCCTGGACGAGGAGATCCCGCCGCAGTGCTGCCAGGGGCTGAGCGACGTCAAGGACCTGGCGCCGGGCGCCGACCAGCGCCGGGACCTCTGCGCGTGCCTCCTGTCGGAGATGCTCGCCGCCGGCAAGGTCGACTCCGGCCGCGCCGCCGGCCTCCCGTCCGCGTGCGGCCTCAGCGTCGGGTTCCTCCCCACCAGCCCCGACTTTGACTGCTCCCAGTACGTACCTTGTTTTGTTCGTCCTTCCATCAGCTGCTTTCTCAAGTTTTGTGTGTCACCGAACGAAAATTCTGAATTTCCTTGCAGGATCCCCTGAGTGGATCGGATTGGCAACTCACTCTGCGGCCGGCCTAACGACCGAAGAGCACGGATAAGAAGAAGCGCTTTGATTTGCTAGCTAGAGTTGGCAGAATGATTACCTCTTGGAAAATATTCTATGAATGATAATCTTGTTGAATGATTCTTTTGTAATGGAAGATCGCTGCAACCTTTATATATCAGTTACGGATTTAGTAGCGGATGAATGTCAGCATGCTATGGCTTGGCGCAGTCGTTTGTCATATGCGCGCTCACCGCTCTATTGTGAGTGTACTCTCAAAGATGAAAGACATTCAAAAGGATGCATGTAATAGGGACTAATTTTATTTACTGCATGAAAAAAAATCGAGAGGTGTTAGTACTTATTTTAACTAAACACT